TCCGAGCTAGAAATAATCTTTAATCGATTTATGTCAGCTTGTTAATAAAAAGTTACATCATCTGTGAGAATGTGGATAAGCCATATTGAGCCACGTGTAGTGAGAGGAAAAACTACGCATGTTCGAGGCCGGCTCAGCTGACCAATCACCACTGGCCGCGTTCAGTGGATTCGCCGGCATTTTCAAGTTTCCTTCAAAGAAATTAAGAGTTTCTGTTAGTTTTCCATTCAGCCTAACTGATAAATTTCCTTTTATTTTGGTCGTGAGGTAGGTCTAAACTTCCATTTCTTTGTTGGTTATTGGTGGAAAATTTACGTAAGTCTGAGAAATACTTTTCAGCGCGAACTGCAAGTGTTCCTTTTGAGACTATTGTAGCTTTCTTTGACATTTAATTTTCTTGATCCCTGTGTGCTAAAAAAACCCGCAGATGATTACGATGTATCTAGTTAACACTCTTCAGTTGTTACAATTTACGTTTTCCTAACTTATACCAATACAAAACGCGATGCATTAATCTCGTTGAAAGTGTACTCGTGTACTTCCACTACAAACCATGGCATAATAGTATACATCTCAAAGGAGTCCCCATCAGTTTTATATACGTTTGCTAAATTTGATTACTAAATTCATAAACAGCACTGAACATTTTTTCAATCCACAAACAGAACTAGGGTAACATTTGGATAGTATACGACGATTGACCCCATTGAAACTAAACGTCAGCTGTTTTTTCTTACGAGACCAGGCTAAAACAGTGTACAAGTTGTAATCTTATATGTGAGTCACCTTGCTCAGAAATGTACTTGACATGTTAGCCAATCAAGGAGACAGGATAGTACGTACTGTACATGCTAGTTTTGCAAACAGTTAGCACCAAGAGTCTGGTTTTGGAAGAAAAGGCAGACCTTGTGTCAAATAAATCCTTTCACAGTAGCTTGCAAGTACTGTTAGCTTGTCAGTTGCAGAAACAAGTTTTAAATGGATACTGTCAGGTTGTTGTTTGTGCATGAGGGGTTAAGTTCTGGTGCCATATGGGCCTCTTGGCTCAAGTGCAGACTTGAGGTTATAACCCCCAAGAGTGACCAAAAGAGAATTTCTCTTTGCTGTATCAATACATTTTTAAGCAGACAGGTGACGAGAAGAAAGAAAAATATCAACTAAAGGACACTGTTTGATTTAGTGATGATTGAACTGAGTAGAGTGCAATCTGGTCTGAAATCATAGACAGACAGACAGACAGACAGACAGACATCTATATTTATACAGGATAGCCCCTTCAGTGTACAAGTTGTAATCTTATATGTGAGTCACCTAGCTCAGAAATGTACTTGACATGTTAGCCAATCAAGGAGACAGGATAGTACGTACTGTACATGCTAGTTTTGCAAACAGTTATACTTGTGATTTCAGGAGTACACAGCCTGTGTTTGATTTAAAATCACAGTTGTGAGTTCAGACCAAAATTGCATGACACAACTGCAAAAATCAGGTGCTTAAATACAGGATTTGTCAGTTGATATAAATACTTAATCTAGTAGTGAGCTGGGTTGTAAATGTATACTCTCAAAAGATGTTGTTCCTGTCTTTCCTATAATTCAATTTTTTTTTCAAACAAGCCTCAAAATTTGATTGGTTGTTGTGTTTTAGTTAAGTTTCCTCATTGGTTTAGGAAAAGATGCAATCTAGAGCAAAATGTGGTGCAATTTGTGAATAAATCACATCAATAAGTGCCAATCAGATTGCAGGGATCTTTAATGATTTCAAAATGGATGCGATAAATCACCGAATTCCCAGAGCAAATATTTTAAGAAATGTATGATGGAAATTAGGAGTTGCAGTGGCCTCATGGTTAGTGCATTCAACTCAAGAACAAGTGGTGTGGGTTCAAGCCCTGCCACGGGACATTGTGTTGTGTTCTTGGGCAAGTTGCTTTGCTCTCAGAATGCTTCTTTTCATCCAGGAGAATAAATGGGTACTAGGGAATTTAATGCTGCAGGATTAAACCTTGGACTAGCATTCCATTCAGGGGAATTAGAAATACTCCTAGTTGCTTCATGCTACAGAAACTGGATTTAAGCACCAGCCCAATGGACCACTTGGCTCTTAGGCAGGCTTTACCCCTTTTTGCAGTAATGGAAAGTTTGGAGGGTTTGATATTTTGATCATATAAGGGTGGAGGGGTCAACCTTTTTTAAACATTTGTTCAGGTTTCCTTAGTAGTTTGCTTGTACCCATCCAATGTAAATACACTTGGTGGTGAAATGAAACTCTTTTAGAGTGAGATGTCATGCCTGAGAATTCAATGTGATCCAAATGTCCAGAAAAATCTTATTAGCTTTTCTTTTTTGTTTTGTGTTTTTTTCATTATGAAGCAGTTCTGGACAACACCAGTCATCTACCAGTAATGTTAATTAGAAAGTCAGGAGCAGTGTTATTCAAAGTAGCTGTGGCACTATGCTTCTTTGTCTACTCGTCAGGTGAGAAATTGAACGTAATTATA